CCGAGAAGCCATCAATGTGGAAAACACATTGAACGAAAATATCACCTGGTTAGGGAAATCGTTCAACGAGGAGATGTAACAGTGTGCAAGATAGCATCTGCAGAAAATTTTGTTGATCCCTTTACCAAGAGTTTGCCTACTAGGAGCTTTGAGGGACATACTGAAAATAGGGGCTTACTTAACATGTCTCATTTACTCTAGGGCTAGTGGGAGAATTGTTAGTTTTAGCCCTTCGAGTAAATTTATTTCTGACATTTTGAAATGATAATTTATTTTTCTAGTGAATTATTTGTATTAATTCGAGCTTGCATTTTGTTCATGGATTGCTTGATATTATAAATCAAGTATTTAAGTTGTTAAACACGGAAAGATTTGATTTGTAATTCAATCTAAAAGTTTATTGTCCACTATCGGTAAATGAAGACGAACACTTCATTTTAATAAGATTGTCTCAATTTTATTTAAAGTTGATATTGACTTTAGCAATAAAATTGATTGTACATTTTTTGGAATATATTGGACCGGACCACGTGAAATTAATTTATGTAGTTGACCACTTGAATTTATTTTCACTTGACTATTGTATGTTGTACCTTAATCCTGAGCGAGTAATGAACTTTGATTACTAACTTGAAGTTTTTTGAGGTATCAATGAGTGAGATTAAATTACTGATCAATATCTCGATGCCTTGGAAATTAAAGTAAAATAATCGGAGAACATATATTCGCGATATGGAATCCGTAACCTATTTAATAGGCACGATCACGACCTCAAGAGATTTTCTAAGGAACAGTTAAATCAGAGCTCAGTAATTCGACGTGACTGTTGAATTAATGTTGTGATGTGATCACAAGGAACTGTCAAACAGAAAATGGGATTGAGGATTTAATGCATATTTGGAAAATAGTTTTTTGGTCAATTTTACCTAGTTCCAAATATTCTACGTGATTAACGGGGGTAATATATAAGAGCAATTTGTCAGAGGATATAATTATTGTAGCTTCAGTAATTTCAATTAAATCAAGAGTGCAATCACATTTTTTTAGTGGAATAGAATGTGATTAATAAATTATCTAGACCAATCAAGAGTTGATTGGGTCAAGATTAATTTATTGGAGCTTGATTTAATTGGGTCCGTTTGGTCCCTTCAGTGGCTTCAAAATAAGAATCGGAATAAATTATAAGAGTTATGATTTATTAAATGTAGAAATATAAATTAATTAAACCAAAAATTATGTCTTGCATGTGCCAAACATGTACTATGGAGGTTATGATTTGGATAAAGACAAAAATGAGATTCCTACTTGATAAGGACCTATCATCCAATCAAAAGAGGAGAGAGTGTCCTAGTGGGATGTGGTATCTTGTAAATCAAACCAACACGTACATGCTAGTGGGTTTAATTAATAAATAAAAATGTATCTTGTTTTGTGCCCACACACAAGATAAAAACTCCTCTCTACATTTTCTATTGGGTTCTTGAAGAACACGGGAGAAGGCCAAAGGGTTTGAAGAAAGGATTTTCAAACAAGGGGCTTGAAGGTGGAATCAAGGAGATAAAGAAATTTTGTAAAGCACGCTACAAGGGTAATTCCTGAAACACCTACGTGTTTATTTTTGTTCCAAATTATTTATTCTTGTTGATACACAATTTAATAAAAATCCTGCATAATTTTTTTTTTTCTATCAATTTCAATATTCAAGCAAGTCAAGCAATAAACGAAAGTTATGGTAAGACTAACGCTCAAGTTCAATTGTTGATTTCACATTTTAATGTTAAGACTTAAGAATGAGTGAACGAACTTATTGAAATTGAAATGACTTCAGAGTTTTTATCTAGCATTACGATTTTTAACATTGATCTAAGTTTGACATTGAAATGATCGTGTTGATAAGATGAAACATTTCAAGTTCGTATGTTATATTACTCTTTATCGCAACATCTTATTAAATCAAGCTTTTTATTTTGGAGGTTTTGGACTATTTTCAAACCAAACAATTTTAAATGGAAAAATTCCAAACCAAACCAAATCAAACCATTTCATTTTTCATACCAAATCAAAATAGTTTTTACGATTATTTGATTTCAAATCATTGTTTTAGCGACATAAAAATAACATATTTCAAAGAAGTGAAAAAAATAAAAGTATTTTGTTCGAAATTTAACACCTAAATTGAAACCTATGAAACAAAAGTGTTACAATACTAATATATTTGTCTCAATAGAAGCTTAAACCAATAAATTAATACAATATTCAACCATAAAATTTAAACTTATAATACATTCTTAAGATGAAAAAATTAGATAAATGAATTAATATTTTATAAAGAGTTAATGGAAGTAGACTAGTAAGCAAATTTTTTTAAGGATAAATTGATCTATTAAACAAACGAGTAATGTTATTTAACATCACTAATGTTGCAACACCGATCTAGATGGCACTAACGTGGCATTAAATGAGAAGTACAACTGAATAACTCATTTAATTGCACCTCGCATTGAGTTTATCACATCACGCCACCTACTAAACTGATGTTGTAGCACCAATGGTGTTATATAACATTATTCTAAATAATATATCGTGTGAAATTAGTAATTTTTCTTAAAAATAAATTGGATTAATTATTTAATTTAGTTTCAAGCAGCGTTTAACTATTGAAATCTAAATCAAACCATTTCCAAATATTCATATCGATTTTAAAACGATCCAAACTTAAACCACGTGAACTCAATCCCTACATAAAACTATATTCTTATCCAAATATTCAACTGATATATACTGCAAAAATAAATAAATTTATTTAATAAAAAAATATAAGACAACATTCCTCATACTCCTTTGTCGGACATTCAGCCTTCTGGCAAAGGGCTTGGGGTTCTTCTCCCTGTCAATCGATAGCATAAGTGATGTGTTTTTTTTTTTTTCGATTATATTTCTCTTAGGAAGAGTAGTAGCTTCAAGACTATGAAACTTTAAAGATTAAGACATTAACTATACTAGCTTGCCCCCAGCTTTTCTGATGAGCAAAGGTGATCAATCATCAATACAGCTAGGCTAATTTTCCAATTTTGACTTGGTGATTAAACAAAATTAATATTGCATCATGAATTAGAACTCAAATTCAGAACTCGCATCATCAGTTGCAAGTTTTAGTTATGAATCGAAGATAAAAGAGGTTGCAATGTTGAATCCGCTATTAGACTTGTTTATAATGGTGAAACGATCTTTATCCATGGATAATAAGTTCAGTAGCAATACGGTTCAATCATTTTCTAGGAGCAAAAGGAACTGCTATAATGACTACATGTCAGAATATCATGCTTTTCAATATTTATTTTAGGCTTACTCTCTCTCTTTTCAAAAGGTAATCTTCTCGCTCACCTGACTCCGTGGCACGAGTCCACTTCCCCCATTTCCAGAAATAACACGGACAGTCGCACCCCATGTGCCTCAAACAAGGATTTAATGTGATCCTCTTACCATATCTGTACAAATAGAATAGCCCATTTATATAGAATGGTAAAAAGATCATATATTATCATCGATCACAAAAATGAAATTAGATGCTCCCAACTCACGAGAGATCATGGCGGAACTGCCACATAAGTATCCATTGAATATTGAGTTCAATAGATCATGATTAGCAAAAAGACGGATATCCCTTGCTCATCATCAGACAATCACTTATTCACAAATTTTGTATGGCATTAATACTTATCATTTCCCATCTCATAAAAAACATTTTACCATACTTCCAAACTGACATCTACAGGGTCAATGTTGTCGACACTGACCAGAGGACAGGCTATTCCTCTTGTGCTGCTCCACTCGACTATCCGTATATGATGTTATAGTAGGACTATGCACAAATATAATACCAGCAGAAGCCTACTAGTTGAATAATTCAATGGCATGCACTGATGAATGTGTGAATTGGAACAATGTTGTTCTAGAGATTAATAATGGAGCCCATAGATTTCCCCATGTCCAAATGACCAAATCTGATATCAAATGTTACTAACACATTTTTTATTAATAATTTAAAGAAGTAGGAAAAGAGAGGAAAAAGCATAATAGGCTCATTCAAAAGAACCTGAATCTCCTGAAATATCCACAAGATATTAATAATTTCATTCTAAGATAATAAACACCTATTTCATTACTTTTGCTTCTTTAGATAAAAAATTACGTAGCCTACAACTAGTCTAATAAGTAGGGTGCACACGCTCATTTTCCATAAATATTTATACAGTGGAAAAAACTATCCTAATCACTATTGATTTTTCCAATTTAGATAAACTACAAATTAAAAATAAATAATTTACTCACTAAAATCTCAAGTCAGTAGAATGCCAATGTAATTCAATTTACCAAAATGCTGCCAAAATTTGCCGAAACTACCAATCTAACGTGCAGATAAGCAAATTCGAAGAGGCAAAAAGACGACATTGCACTTTAGTCCATAGCAATTTGTGTGCGAAATTGATATCCAAAAATTAATATTTCTATACAAATGAATCCATTCAAACACACATCACCTGACCTTTCGCTTATGTTTGCTAAACAAGCTGACAAAAACCTTTGCCAAGAAACTCCCAACTGATAGCATGTCCACCATGTAATTGAAGAATCTGAACTAACCAAGAAACTAATACTCTTTTTTGTTCGGAAAAGGTATTTCATTTCCATCTTTTATCTCCCACTTAAGTACCCGACTCCCTGTATTTTTCTTACGTTCGGATAGCATTTATGATATATATACGGAATGGAATGTTTATCTGTATATTTTTTAAGATATCTTTCGTCTTTTTAAGCATTTTTTCAGTTTTTTCCTTTTGATCTTCTGAAATTCAAAGTTAAGTATAAACGGGTTTCGAAAAACAAAATAAGAAAACTACAGGTAATGCTGCAACTGAAACCGGAACCAAACCTTCCCATGCATTCACCACCTCAGATCTCTAATCCCAAAGTTGAGACACCAACTGCAGCATCTGACACTATCCGCCAATAGCAGGACTGAAAATCATTAACTGCATTCAAAAAAATACTAAGATTTCGTTGTAACAAACCATTATATTTATTAATAACAAATATAGCTCATATCAGACCTGATCACAAACAGGACATGTATCACTTCTTTCCATCCATTCAAGAATACAAGCAAGGTGAAAATGATGATCACATTTGGTAATGATTTTTGGGTTTTCAGAGTCATATTCTGTAGAGAGACGCAAAAAATCAGTTTTCAATTTTTCCACGTCCAGTTACATCAGAGTGAAATAAATAAGCACTTGATGATTTTGATCTCACCTTCCAGACAAGTGGGACAAACGTCTTCCTCATCCTGTAACGGGGAAACAACTACTTCGCTGGACTTTTTGAGTGCGTTGGAATTTTCATCCTCAACTTCTTTTGTTACTTCCAACTCCTTATTGATTTGCGCCTTTTCATCAGACTCCAGGTTCTTCACTTTGGTTTCCAATGTGCTGACCGAAATTGTGTTGATAGACTCAGTGGGTGTGGTTAGCCTAACCACATCGACCTTGTGCCCAGGATCTTCTTGATTCCCTGATGGCGCAGGTGGGCGTCCTACAAGTGTTTCATAAGGAATTGGGGCAGGTGGTGGCCGGTAAGTATCAGGGACTGAGGTATCTAGATTGGTATCAACCAAAAGCCCTGTAGAGAGAGCAGAGACTGCTATGTGGCGAGATGACAGGGGTTCTCGCTCCTCCAATGCTCTTGGATTCTACAAGCAAGTAGCATTTCAACAAAGAACAGTTCAGCAGGAGTATTAACAAGGTTATGTTAATGTCTCAATAAGTTAAATGAGTCCTAGTTGAACAAGAGAGAGAGAAAAAATAATACAGATTATAGCCAAACCCAAGTAAACAAAAGCCTGAAACATAAATACTTCCACCAAAAAAAAAAAAAGAAATATATTCGTGCTTATGTGTGCTAATTGCCATCTTTAACAGATATCAGATAAAGAGAAAATTATCAAAACGCAGAGCTAGTTCTACAATCCATGCAGGCAAAATAGATCAGGTCCAGCATACGTGATTCAGGCCATAAGGCATGGATTGAACTAAAGAAAAATTAAATAAAATAGGATAACATGAGTCTGTTACTTGATCCAATTGCATACATAAACCCAAGGGGTTCTGTTAATCTGCATTAATTTTATAATTATTTATTAGTAACCATTGATGTTGCATTAAACAAACAGACAAAAGATTAATGAAGATCACTATTCATGATTAACACACCAATGGAGATAATCAATTTCCTCCTTCATCAACATACAATATTTGTCATCTTCTACTCCACCAATAAGCTAAAATTCATGAATGAAAATATCAATAAGAAAGGAGACAGTAATTTTAGAAACTTGAGGGGAGGTCTATATAGTAATCAGAAGTTTGAGGGGAGGCTATCATAATCCATCATAGACTTTTCTTCAAGAATCTTATCGTTAGCAGCCTAACATAAAATTAAAGAACTGTTGTTGATCAAAGATGTTATCTACTTATTTTTCACACATATACATAATGAAACCTAGCAAGCACCAAGCACGTGAAACTAAACCTAATGTGCAATAGAAAAACATTAAAAATTAATTCAAACTACGAAAATCCCAAATAAAAAACAGACTAAACCGCCCAGCAAATTATAACATTGTCAGTAAAGGTTGCTATTTTGAGATACAACTGATGCAAAAAGGCATCAGCTATGAGTCAAGATATATCACTCACTTGATAGAAAGGTGATGAGTTGTTATATTCAGCAGTCTTCGATGCGCAGCAGCAGCAGCCTCCCATCTTTAATTATATTTTTAATTCACCTGAGGCAAGTGGTGCTTTGCACATTGTTCTTTCTATGCATGAAAAGAAAATATCATCAAGCCAATAAGGAGAAGCCCATTCTCAAAGACCATATAGAGTTAGAAGCACTGTTTGATCATTGTTAACAAAATGAATTAAAGCATAAACAGTATCATCAGCTCGTTAATCTTATCCTACTAAAGGATGTCAAATGTTAGTAAAAAGTGTATAGTTTTCGAGTTCAACCAGAAATTCTGATGCATGAGAACATGATCACTTTGCTCACAACCAAGACAGGCATATGCAAAAGTAGAAAAACTGTAGGAGTATTGTGAACAGGGAAGGTATAGATACTAACGACAAACGCAATCGAACAAATAGTATAATTGTATGAGAATTGTGGAAGAATGGAAAAGGAAGAGAGAAGAGATAGAAGCAGAAGAGAAGATAACAGGAGGGAGAGAGATAGAGAGATCCATCAGATGCTCATTTCAGAATTTTGTAATGAAATCAAACTTCACAGAAAAGAAGAATAAAAAATAATATTAATAATTTTTCCTTTATTAACACACTCATTTCCATGATTATTAAGAGTGATGTGATAACTTGTCATCAACTTTTAGGTTGCAGACTTGCAGTACGATTGATGACTTTTGATCCGGATGTGTTGCAAATCTACAGGTTGTATGATGGATAAATCTATTTCAAATAATTTGAAATTAGTTAAGCATGAAGAGGTTTCAATTAAGACTAATCAGGGAGGAATTTGAGTCCATTATACGCAACTTCAGCACAATGTTTAGCACAGTGGAATCGAGTTCCTAGGAATTGGAATTCCTGAAGCTTTAAATGGAAACAATACCAATTTCAATTCTAACTTTACAATTTCATGCTCCAAAAAGAAGTCAGAAATGTTTCATGAATTTGAGCCACCAATCCGTAATTGATCTTACTCAACAGGGATCCATTCTTATGAGAACGAAATCCATTCCAGCATATTCATTAATCCAATAGCCAATAGGTTTACACCTTCTGAGGATAGCGCCATATATTAAAAGCATATGTTAAGCTCATGAGACATTAATTCTGATATAATTATTACTACTACAGATGCTTTTATGTTATATATAGAACAATCAACTATCACAGTGATCTTTTTTCCTTAATAGCAAAGGAAGATTTTATTAAGAAAGAAATAGAGAGTACATAGAAATATAGGACAAAACATCCTCAATAGATAACAAAAAGCAAGATCCTCTTCAAATGAGTGAAATTTGTGCCAAAGAAAGCTTCAAGGCCATAGCCCGAAGCGATGCAAAGAAAAGTATGTTATACCACAATGAAGGCAATCTTAGAGGTCATTGTTAAAAAAAATCTTTCATTCTGCCCTTCCAAATGAATCACAACAGCAGCAAACACTAACTCTCCTTCATAAAAAGAAAATCACAATGCTCTAGATACTAATCTGGTCATTCCACAAGTTGTATAACTCCAGTCCAATAACTCGAACTATGTAATAACCCAATGGATAATTTCTTATCTCAATCATCCTCCAATAACAATCCAGTAAATCTAAAAATTAGTGTAACTATACACACTTAAATGGAAAAAAAAAAAATCGAGAGACGAATTCCAAGAAAATTCGAATTAATACCGCTGTAATACAGTAAAATAGATACGACTATGACAGATTAAACTCACACAAGCGAAAGAGAGCGAGAAACATAGACACGTCAATACTTCAATAAATAAATCAAATAGAAAGTACAATCGAAACACATAAAAACCTTAAAGCCCTAAGATATATACAGAGTTTGATACAATCACAACAACGAACCTTCATAACATCCGCAGCTGCAATCAGCTCTGACAACAATAATTAATATCGAAAAACAAAAACTCATCAAAACAGTAATTAATTGATCAAATTCAATACAGGAAGCTCCATTGCATGCGTGATTATATACGCAGGTAAGTGAACAGACATGGATATCGCATAACTGTGTGTACCTGATGGATTAGGATTGAAATGGTGGGGAATTGATAGTTGAGAGGTGGCTTTGCTTTTGAGAATCTTGAGTGTATGTTTGTATGACTTGGCATTGAAAGGTGGACTACTTTACTTTGAAAGTTGGAATTATTGTTAATTGGTTAATTATGATAATAATTCACTAGGGGCTGTTTGGATGTGCTTTCTAACCCCCTTTTTATTTTATTTTTTCCTTCTCTAGATTGTTTGATATTTTCCAAGGAAGAGCCTTGCAAATAATATCAAGAGCGAATCAAATTGAGTCGAATCTAGTTTAATTCAAATATGTGAAAAATAAGGATAAATGTATGTATTGTATAGATGGGCTAAATTTAATTTTCCTAATAATCGATTGTAGCAAAATATTTCATCTTGACTAGAGAAGAAAGAGTAAATTAATACAATGTTGGCTTCACCTCTTAATGGAGGGAATTGAAGTTCTTACGTGAACTTCCAACTCAAAAACCTACTTGTTTTCGTAATTTTTCAAGTAACACGTCAATTAAGGTGTTATTAATCACTAATCATTCATTTGTTGACCTCTCCCGACTTCTTCAATCCCTTTCACACCTATCATATTTTGGGAAGCATACTACATTGTTGAGTATTTATCAATGTTAGCAACATCGTAAATGCAAGTACTGAAAAAGACTGATGCAAAGGGTCTATTTGACATGACTTTGAAGATGTTAAAATGAGTTTTTGAGTCCTAAAAGTTGGTTTTTGACATGTTTGGTTGATTTTATAAAAGTGCTTATTTTAATTAAAAGAATTTTAAAGGAAGTTAATCAATGTGACTACCTCTAAAAACTAGGATCCATGAGAAAAAGTTCTTCTATAAATTAGTTTTCGAACACCAATTAAAATAATTTTCTCAGAAAACTACCCTGCAAGAAGCGGAAGTAAAAGTTGAAGCTTGTCAAAAAAAGCCATAAAAGTCATTAATTAATAGGACATTTTAAATGTAGAAATATGAATCTAATTTAAACTATCTTATTAATTGATATCTCAAACTTGCAACCTAAAGGGATGTTTAGCGCCAATTGAGTTACGTACTATAAAAATAAAGTTCCCAAACGCTGCCTAAGAGCGATGGAATTGGAAAAGGCTTTAGCCTTTCAATGGTAGACTTGTGGTATTTGAGTAAAGCCGCCACCAAGTTGGTGGCTGGCCTCCAACCACCACCATTTTAGGTGACTTTTGGTCCACCGCCGACAGCAACTATTTGTAGCACTATTGAGATTTTCTTTAAATAATTGTTTCAAAAAAATTTCAAGCAGTTGTTGGGAATTTGTTGGGCGGAATCATATCCCTATACACAGTATGCAATGGGACATATTGGTGGAGCAATAAATATGGAATGCTTTTAGGGTGATCATTTTTGGAAGAATTAAAAGTTATTTCTTGAGGTTGACTTGTCATGCATACATTTTACGAGTTATCGATCACGCAATAATAACCCTACTATAAAAATCAAACTATACCTGTGGTCGGTTTGATTAGAAAAATTGGGAACAATTCCTTTTCTTTTCTCTTTTCCAGCATTTTGGTGAAATCGTGTTTACATATCATGCTTCTTTTATTGAAGCATCCTGACTTTGATGGAAGACATGTGGCTCGTTATGGCCATTGGATGTTGGACTTTCGATATACCCAAGCTGAAGGGATTTTGTCATTAATTGATTAATTGGTATTCTCTGGAAACTTCTAGGGTTTCTGTCTTTGAGAGACAAAAAAATAGAAAGAGATAGGGTTTGATTCTTGATGGTTGATTTCCCTTTAAATATTTGATTTAGAGTATTGTAATAGTTAAATCTACCTTCGATTGTAATATTCTGTGTGAATATTGTGAGGTTCTGAGTGATTCCTCTGTTGTAAGATTTAGTGTGTGTTCGAAGGGTTTCTTGGTATTTTCTGAATGAATCTTGGGCTATCTTCTGTTTTATTTTGATAGATAAGTCTAATATCTTCTTTCTCGAACTTCTGTAACCTTTGTTACTATTTTGTGGCTGATTTAGTGCGTCTGAGCATAATCTTTTTTATGGATGCTCAACGGAGGATGTAGGTGTTGGAAACGGTCACGGAACCTCCGGGGCTACGGCCGAAATAATTCCTGTGTTAATTCTTTAATTTTCTGCAGTTTTACTTTACTATTTTGATTATTGTTTGTTTCGATTGTCATATTTTGTGTTGGTCTGGGCCTTACAAAAACAGTATAATTAAGCTGCACGCCAACACTATAGATATTTCGAAAGGAAGTCCATAAGATCTGAAGTCATAGATTTGTTTCTATTCTTGTTACCCCATCTAATATATAAATCTGAGCATTCATATATAAATTTATGTTACGCGAGAAGATGAGCCTAAGCTAAATCTCAGCAAAAGGGAACGAACTAGCTCAGGTTTCTGAAGTCAGAAATTGTATTCGATATAATAAAATGAATATACAAGTGCTTCACCTGCTGAGTGTTAAGATTTGCAGATATCTGTTCGAAGGCCCAATTGTTCTCTTGAAGAAATAGCCGAGACACACCATCGATGCCTACAAAGAACGGAAGTCAGCTTTAACTAAGCAAGCGTAAGTTACGTGATTTTGCTATTACCAATCAAGTTTTTCATCTATTCTCGTCCCCACCTCTAGTTTCCGAGACTCAACGACTACTCCATACCCAATAATGATTATCCTAGAAAATAAACAGTATTACTCGAAAAAATTTAAATAAACTATTTTCTCCACTAACTTTAGCGTGCGTGAAGGTAAAACTAGTAAAGTAAACGAAACTGATTCCAAGAAGCTTACTGTTGTAAAATAAACTAACCGAAATTTCATATAAATTGTGTTTCTTTTATTTTTACTTAACAAGAATGAAACCCGCAATAATGATGATGGTTTAAGTAACAGTCTTATGAGTTTTATATATGTTACTAATTACACAAGGAAGAGCTTGTAAAAAGTAAATTAATGGCGTCCATATCCTTTTTTTACGGCACGGCTTTATATGGCATGCACATGTATGCTGTCAAGAACTTTTTACGGCACCCTCATTTAGTTTTAGTTTTGTTAATAATTAATTAATAATATTAATTCAATTTATTCAACATAAAATTAAAAAATTCATTTTCTTTTTCCTTTGCCAATAATTCTCTAAATTAATATTTTTAATATCATATTAATTTTTATTAATAGCTTTTATTATAAAAATATAACTTAAATTTCTTCCCTCGGTTGAATTAGTCAACTTAAATAAATAACATCCATATTCCCTTATTTAAATGGTTGTTTCATTTGGTTGGTTCACATATATCCTAACAACTGAATAATTTATTTAATGTAATAAAATTATTGCATACAGAATGTTACTATATAATTTGATAAATTTTATTTTATGTTATATTTACCTTTATTTAAAAGTTGTTTTAATTGATAGCTATATGTGAATCTCAATAATACCTAAGTTTAGATAAAATGGAAAACTAAATGATAGGGTAATTATATTCATACTAAAATTTTTATTAACTACACAACATTATAAATGCAATAAACATTTATATTTTTTGCTCATTTTCACACTTAAGTCCTCAATTGTTTTTCATTATATATTCTTATCATTATATGAAACTAAATAAATTATTATAATATTATGATGTGTTGAAATTTTAAGCTATCCACACATGATATTAGTAGATTAAAAAAATTCAAATATACATAGATAACATACAATGAAGGAAGAAGAAGATAGTTTGTTCAGGCTATGTTTTTAAATTTCCTGCCAATAGAGAACGTGTAAAAAGGATTGAAAGATGGCTATTTTACAATTAATAATTAATGTAAATAAATGAGAGGGACGATGTAGGGTTGCCTTGTGTTAGTACATACACTATGTAATAAAAATAATAAAGATCATTATAGCTATAAAAATCAACTTTGCTCATTCTAAAACCGTTGTGAATGAAAACAATTTGGTGTGGGCTAAAAGTAAGAAATGTTGTTAATGAAAGCCATTTGTTGTGAGTTAGAACTTCTCAAAACTCGAAAATAGCCTAGATGATACTTAAGTTTGTGAATGTGTTCATGTTGCATTCGAGTTTTGGAGAAGTCGATTTGCGTGAGAGAAATTTTACAAAAAAAAAAAAAAGAAAAGAAAAGAAAAGAAAAGAAAAAAAGAAAAAGAAACATGATTTGCTTTGGTCTTTCACAAAACTTTCGATTATGCTAAAAGATAATGTAGTTCGTTTTTCTTTCTATTTCTATTTTATAATTCTTTTAGTAATGTTTTCCCACCACTGTGATTCATCTTTGACTTAACGATTTATATTTCTAATATTTCTAATTTTATGATTTTTATTTAGTTGTTCCACTATCTATTAAAAAATGATTTAATAATTATTTTTAGGATTGATGATGGCACATTAGCATATGTACAATCATAGTTATTAGATTCGACCCGGACATTGACTCAATCAAGGTATTGGGTCATCAGGTTACTAATCAGATGGATGAACCGATCGTCACATCAATGGGTCATTACTTAAAAATTATCTAAAAAATTTTAAAGTATAAATTATTATTTTTTCTTGAGACAATTAATTTTTTCAAGTTATTTGTTACAAATTATTTTTAAACCTTTAAATTAATAATTTTTGAACTCATTTGTTAGTGATAATAGTTACATTTTGATTTTATAATTTTGTACATGGTTTGTATTATTTGAAAGTTATACCTTTGTTGGATTTAATTACTTCTGCCATATCTGAAAAACTTTATTTTGGCAAAACTATGGCATGAGAGACTTGGTCACATTGGTAAAAAGGGGTTTGAATTTTCTGAAATCAAAAGGTGTTTTTTGGAAAATTAAACATTGGAGATTTTGATTCCTGTGAGCAATGCATTATAGGGAAACAAGTAAAACTTCCATTTCCAACTGGAACACATAAATCTAAGCAAAAACTTGAGTACTTGCATTTTGTGACTTATGGGGTCATGCTTATGTGTCTACATTATCTGGTTTCAAATACTACTTGTTGATTATTGATGATTTCTTAAGAAAAATTTGGGTGCATTTGTTTGAATCTA